TCAAAGCTTCCATTACTAGATGGTATAACCAAAGTTACAAATTATAGTTCTAGATTCAACCAATAAGCATAGCCGTTAACTGAACATAGACCTATTTTTCAAATATTATTACTAGTGGGATTTGAACTCTAGATCTACTACTTGGAGAAGGTAATAATTAAACCACTACACTAAGTCACTACACCTCACATGCATTGCATGATGATGCAAATTATTAGTAACAATTGTGTTTAATATTATAATAACAATTGTGTTTAATATTATAATAACTTTACAGAATAATTAAGAAAAACATTGCTACATAATGTAATAGTAACTTTGTTCATGTTGTATTAGTGAAATTAGTCTTATATTATGAGTGATGCTTTAAAGTTTGTGATCACATAGTTATGCATAACATTAATAGACCTGAATTATAATTTATATAATAAGAGTAATAATTAGTAACTTTATTGGGTGGGAATGATAACTAATAACTTTGTGAGATGCAATGTATATATTTATTTATATTTAAGGGTAGGATGAACATAAATCATTTTTACTAGTGATCATGTTATTAATTTTTTTACAATAACATTTAATTGAAATCAGGTGATGATTATATAATATTTATATTGTATAATCTAGACAAATTTTGATCAACCTAGAAAGAATTAATAATATATACAAGTATGTTTTTTTTTTAATAATACAGGGGTTCAAATTATTATAATTAGAAATAGAAGGGTATAATCTATTTATCCTAAAACTTTTATGAAAATTAGTTACATTTTTAAAAACTTTTATATGTAACATGTGTTTGATTTTTGTGTAATATTTTTTTAGTTGATCTACTTATATAAGAAATGATCTACGTTCACCCTACCCTTAAAATACAATATTTATTTAAACTAAATTTATATATAAATAGTTAAAATTAGAATAAAAGATATAGTTTAAATAAAAGTTAAATATCTTTAATAAGTTATAGCTAGATTTTACTAATTTTAACTTGATTTATTAAAAACTAAAAATTTTTTTTTTTTTAAATATTTTTAAAATTTAATAATTAGAATTAAATAAACTTGTTTTTTTTGTTAAATATGCCTTACTAAGAGCTTTTATTTAAAAAAAATGTTTATCTAAATTGGACTACTAGTTGCTAAAATAATTACAAAATAACTATTTTTTTATTTTTTAAATTTTATATAAAAATTTTTGCTATATAAATTGTATAACTTATAATCTTTTTTAGAGATGTTTGGGGTCCTGTTTAAATTAGCTCAAATAGAAGGTTTTTATATATTATAATCTTGTAATACTTTTATATACTGTATATTGCCCACCTACACTAAAGAAGGTCCAAATTATTTTTATATATACAGTATACTGTAGTACAGTATATACTGTAGTATACTAATACTATATTATACTATATATATGTGTATATATATTATATATAGTATATATATACGTATAATAAAATAATTTTTTCTTTTAACCAATTTTAAAAACGTTATACTGTATTATATCGATATCGATATTGTTATAATAAAAAATACTACAGTAAAAAAATTAGCTATGCATGATAGATAGCCATTGCATATTTGTGTATCCCGTCATTTAATGACGGACACTAGCAGCTACAATGATGGATCGACTTAGCGTTAGTAAAAAAAAAAAAAGTTTAATAAAGTAAAAATACAATATCAGATATCGATATATAATTTAGCTATAGGAAAAAATTTTTACTATTTTCATTGTTTTTAATAGCAGTTTTAAGATTGACCAATTATAAGGAATTTTTCGTAAGTTTAGATAAAGTTTATCGATATTTTGAAATCAAAATAAATATTTGTTTAATTTTGACATCTAGAGTAACGTGAGTTATCATTTATAAAATCTAAAAATTTACCAATTAAACCATTATTTTGAAATAAAAGGGTATTTTCGGCACGGTCTACATACGTATGTACGTACATAAGTAAGCACATAAAATAACCGATGTGCTAATATTAGGCCAATAATTATAGTATTGATATGTAATAATTTATAAGGAATTAACAAAAAAAAGGTAAAGTGCGTACGTTCGTATCAACAAAATTTTGATTAATTAAGTTAACACAAATGATTAATAAAGTCAAATTATTTTGATTAATTATGCAAATTTAAACCGCTTTTATATAGCGTTTAGTAGTATTGGCAAAAGCCGAAGGATTAATAATATTAAAAGAATTAATCACAAACGAAGGATTAATAATTTTAAAAGAATTAATCACAAAAAAAAAAGGGTTACTACCGAAAATTTTTAATATTTTTAATACATAGTCTGGTGATCAAGGAATAACATTAATGCTAAAATTGTAAAATATTTATAGGATTGTTACATCATTGATATCGTCAACAGACAGTAAGACAGTAAGACAGAGTACGTAGGAGATTTTTTTTATAAAAATAAAACCGGCCAATTTTTTAAGAGACAAAGAAAATGATTTTAAAGAATATACTATATATATATATAAATATATAAAAAAGCCTCAATACTTAATAAGTAATCAAAATTGAGGTATTCCGAGATAGGATTCATTAACCAAAGTAGTAGTTTGATGGATCACCTAAAAATCTGATGGGTCCCACGTTCATTTGATGAAATCTTGGCAGTCTAGACCCAATAAGGTGCATACTAATTACCGGAAACATTAATAACATATAACGTGAAATTATCTTTAATAACAGGATATTTACCGTTCAGTAATATATTAATCATAAAAGATTGTAAAATGAAAATACTTTTTAATAACAATTAATAACAATTAATAAAAATAATAAAAATAATAAAATAATAAAAAAATAATTTCATATGTCATACATAAATCCCGAAAAAACAAGAAATAAATCGACGCTCGAAGCATTAAAATTTTTAAGTTATAGAACCTAAAATTCAAAATTAATCGATAATCGGAAAACGGTCGCGATAGGAAAATGTATAGCATATGTATATTAATATGCATTTATATGGTATTTGATTGAATAACTGATCGAGCGCATGCTATCAGATGTACTATTAAGACATAAATCTAATGATCACTTGATAAATTGTGTATTTATAAAAGTATGGCAACTTTGATTGGATTTGTTTATTGTTATGAAGCATCAAATAAATATTTAATATGCGTAAGAGGGTCATTTGATATGGTAAATATATTGTAATGCAATACTCTTTTCATACCTATATTTTTACACAAAAAAATTTTATTGAAAAATATATAAATTAATTGTTTTTTTGTTTTTTTTTTTTTTTATATAAATAAATAAATAAATAAATAATTATATATATATATATATATGTATTTTTTTTTTTTTTTTATATTTTTTTTTATATTTTTTTTTTTATATTTTTTTTTCGTACGTATATATAAAGATGTAGCACCTTGAGAGTTACACGTGAGCGATACAACAACTAAGGGAGCCAGGTCATGAGATAATGATACGCTTTGCACCATTAGGTAATAAAAAAAATTTTTTTTCCAACTTTTAAACCAAAAAAAAATTAGTCAACCAATCTAATTTCTTGGATTTGTTTCTGATTTGAGGTACATCATCCTTGATATATTTTTAAGCCCGATTATAAATTCTTGAAGTGATAAGCTGTATATGGGCACGTCTTGTACTCTGCTTTCTGCCATATTCTCGTTTTTTATGGAAATTTTCATTTTCTTTGTGTTAAACTTGAAACTGATTCGTCAATCCTGACGTTGCGCTAACTCTTACAACGTTTGACAATCCATACCTGGCTTAAGCATATCTTTCGGTTGTCTTGACATCCAAGCTCAGCCTCGTGTCCAGTGAATTTAATAAATAATCCACATGATAAATTATTAACACGAAAACGTCCGTTTTCTAGATACGTAAAAAAAAAAAAAAAACTGACTACCTAATATTAACCATTTGTTATAAAAACAATAAAAAAATTAGATAAATTACTAAAGCTTTTTTCGGTTTACCTAAATTCTTCACCTCACATCCGACAAAAATAATTATTATCAAATTGTTCTAGCTTTATCATTTCCTTCTAGTAGCTTCCTAGTAGAAAAAATATTTCGGGTTTTCCTATGCAAAATCAAAATCTTGATAACAATACCAATATATATTTATATTTTTATACGTATATATATATTATATATATATATATATAATTAAAATTGCATCTGTAAGGTTGATCAAATTTATTCCCGATTTATAACTGATAACATATTTGATCTACTTATCTCCTAGTTATAAATAAATTGCACTGTGACCTTTGCTTTTTTTTACAAAAAAAAAAAAATAAATAATAAAAAAACAAAAAAATCATAGACCACGCTCAATCTAGAGTAATAACGTATTTAATCTTAATATTTTAATTATTAATATTTGAAACCTTTTTTCAGAATAGTTTTCTTTCGGTGGTTTTTGTATAAATACTCCTTATAAACCGACCTATTTTTCCCTTAATATATACTTTAGTACTTTTTTTTCAATAAACATTATATTACTGAGTTAAAACATCATTAGCTAAAAGAGGCTTTCGGAAGCTTTCTTTCGACCACTCCGATTCTTCTTCGTGATCCTTCTACTCTTCTGACAGCATCTGTTCAGCATGGTTACCTTTACAACTGATTACTGGGCTCCGGCTCTAGATAGTAAAGCTCGTCGTCGTGTTACCGATGAAGCAAGGGAGGTTCTCCACGTTACAAAAGAGCGTACTACCACTAAGGCTCCTAAAAAAACCCATAGTTTACCTGTTGTTAGTCCTACTAGTTCCCCTACTTCTCTTCAAGCCATTTTTTCAAAACCCTCAAACGATGCTGAGGAAATCGCAAGTGCTTCATTTTCAACTAATTCTGCTCCTTCCACTCCTTCCGTTGATGAAGCCAATAAAGCTTGTGAACCTTTATATGAGCTTTCTAATAAAGCTACTTATGGAAGTTCTACAATCGGTACTTCTACTAATGGTTCTACCGTAAATGTCTCTTCTACTAATGGTTCTACCGTAAATGGCTCTGTTAATGGCTCTGCTGAACCAAAAAAGATTACCTTTGTTCGGAGTATTCAGAAACTTTTAATTCATGATTCAAAATCTCCCAGTTCTTCTCCTGTTGGTTCTCCTGAAGAAGAAAAAGAAGAATTTAATTTTAATGTTACTCCTGACGCTAGAACTATGTTGAAAGAAATTCTTCATCCAAAATTAGAAATTGAAGAAAAACAAACTCAACGTAGTGATTCGGGTAGTGATAGTGGTAAAACCGTTGATCCGGAATCCATGTTAATAAAAAAATACGGTGTGTGTGATAAGGGTTGTATTGGTAAAGGTGCTACTGCCGTCGTTCGTCTTGCTCATAAATTCGATAAGTCAGATTGCGAAAAAATTTATGCTGTCAAGGTATTTATTTTATAATAATATAATAATAATAATAATAATAATATTATTATTATTTAAATAGGCATTAGTAGAAATTCACAGTGTTAAATAATATTTCATTACTCTTATATAGGAGTTTAGAAAGAGAAGAAAGAATGAATCTGAAAAAGACTATGTAAAAAAATTGACTAGTGAATTCTGTATAAGTTCTACGTTACAACATGAAAATGTTGTCAGAACAGTAGATTTAGTTCAAGATGAAAATCATAACTGGTGTGAAGTTATGGTTTGTAAACATTTCTGTCACTATCATTTTTTATTGTAAAATTATTTACCGGTATATTAATGACTTTTTTTTTTCATAATATAGGAATATTGTCCTGGTGGTGATCTTTATACTGCTATAAAAGCTGGCCATATGACAAATACAGAGATAGATTGTTGTTTTAAGCAACTTGTTAGAGGTGTTGGTTATCTCCATTCTATGGGTGTTGCTCATAGGTATGAAATTTTTCTTTTATTAATTATTATTATTAGCATTATTAACTATGTATTGCATTTATTAATCTTCGTTTTTTTTTCGTTTGTTATTAGGGATATAAAACCTGAAAACTTGTTGCTTGATGCCAGTGGTAATCTGAAAATCACTGACTTTGGTGTATCAGATGTTTTTAGAACATGTTGGGAAGGTGTTGCTCACATGTCTAAAGGACTCTGTGGTTCTGAGCCATATATTGCTCCGGTAAATATAACTTACTATTATTATTAAATTAATTTCATTATATTTCGTTTATATTTTCTAACTTATAAATTTATATTATATTTATTTATAGGAACAATTCGAAACAAAAGAGTACGATGCTCGACTTGTTGATGTTTGGGCATGTGGTATCGTATATTACTGCATGATATATCAAGGCATCCCATTCAGAATGGCAACTCCAACGGATCCAAATTACACTAATTACCTAGAAACGAAAAGTCTGGGTCTATATGAACCATTTGAAAAACTTCCATCGGGTTGTCGGGAATTAATGTATCAAATTTTAGAACCTGACGCTAAAAAACGTGTCACTATCGAATCAATCAAGAAGGATACGTGGTTCCAGATGGTCGAATGTTGTGTGGACAATTGCAGCCTAACGAAAAAACATAACCATGTTCCGCCAGATTATTTGAAAGAAATTCAACAAAGTCAACAAAATAATCCTGTTAAAAAGTAATTTAGTAATTTTTTTGCACATATTATGTGCGGTGTAATTTAGCTTAACATTTTAAAAAATCTTTTTCATTCATTATAATAAATATAGAATTTTTTTTTTTTCAATTAATTATTTTTTTTTTTTTGGGAAATCTAGAAATGACCGAAATTCTGGTTTTCCTTTACTTTCCTTTTTTTTCCTTCTACATTCAGAAATGAATATTTCATAATTATGTAGCATTTTGATGAATGTAGTCTTATTTGTGACGACATTATCATTTTATATATTTCGTAGGCCACCTTCTTTTAAGTAACATTAAGCCACCAACTTATACTGTACAGTTTTATCATTAATGAATATACATATAAAAAAATAAAATAATCTTTAAAACACCTAAAAAAATAATAATAATAAATTTATTTTTGTATTTTTGTATTGGTATTTAGTATACTGCTACGTATAAACGTATACGTATCAATGTATCAATATCTATCTGCTATGTAATATAATAATCCGATTAAGTTGGGGGTTCGATTGATGAGCGAGGGCGTAATAATGTGGAGAAAAGTGTTTAATTTCAATTTAAGTATGACGTATGATTATGTAATTATAATAAGAATATATTTAGTAAAGCTTTCTTCTTAAATTTATCTGTACGGTCGTTAAAGTCTACGTAATGTACGTAGTTGTTAAAATGACAAGCTATATGATAACTCGCGATATAGGATATGGGGGTATAAAAAAAGTTTCGGAAATTTTAAGTGTAATCAGAGTTATGCAATGTCTACAGCTCTTGCATATTTCTGATTGTTTCTAATACTGTATATATATTTATAAAATGCTAACGTTAGGAAAATGGTAATTGTAAAATAAAAAATTTTTTTTTTTTAGTCTTTAAAAGAGTTAATGAACTCTAAATTATATTATATAAAATATATTTTTGACTCATCATTATACTTTTTTGTTAATAGGTTTCTAAAAATGATTTCCATTTCATATGGTTATAAGTCGGCTTTAAATGCATGCATTTGGATGGAACCAAGTAAAGATTTGCATTTAAAGTTTGCTGAATGTATAAAAAAAGGATAGTCCTTAAAAAATTTTCGAGTTCGAGTTTGGTTACAATAGATGCAATAACGATAAAAATCTGTTGAGTCCAAAATTTTTCCTTGATCATCTACCACATCTGTGCAGATTAACTTTTAAAAAACCAAAGTATATTATTCTAAAATGAAATATTTCAATATTTAAATTTTATTGTATTATGATAATGCAGTTCGATCACAATATACGATACAATATACGATATAATATACGATAAGATAATGAATGAACTTAAAATTAATAAATACATATATTGATACATATTAATGAATTCATTTATACATACGTAAACTCCCCTGACAAAAGGAATTTTTGCTAATGGTTTGAATGTTACTATAAACAGATTTGTACGCATTCCTTAAATTAAGATACTACAGTACCTCAAAATTTATTTTGTTTGTCAGACTAATCATTTCGAAATTTTGTGGTCTAATCGAACAAACAATGTTAACATTTTTTTTTATAAAAAAAAAAACATTTATTTCGAAACAAATTACGTAGTGTTAAATTTTATATGTATTCTTTTAACAATATTGAATTTCAATAAATTGTGCAAATGATTACCTATTCAATTCTTCTAATCGAAAATCATACATATAATTAAATCATATGTAATGTACAATATATTTGTAACAGGTAAAAAAAAAAAAAAATACTTGGAAATTTGAATGTTTGATGTGCATGCATTAAGATTATTACTTATTTAAAAAAACCAAACATGGCTTAATATATTTTAATAAACTTAAAATCTTTATGCTCGGTTCTGTAGTTCATAATTATTTGAAACAGTCAATGGTAAGATTATACTCGTGTAACTAGACAGATTTTAATCACTAAATCATTGATCAATTTTGACAAGGCGATTATTCTAACATTGATCACAATTTTCACAAAAAACCTTAATAATAATGTTTCGATGAAATGGTGACTTGGTTTTTATATTTTATTTTATTTTGACATATACGGAAATTTACAATATTTGTTTAATAAACTTTAATATTTTTATATATATATGTTTATTAATTATTATATAAAGTATACTTTTGTAACTATACACAATGTTACTATTTTAAATCACAAGGTTTAACTTATTTTTTTTTATCTAATAAATGTTAAACATAGTGTGTTAATATTTAAAAATTAATCTAAATTTTATATTGGTTATTTTTTAAAAAAATAAATACTGTATTATACTTATATCGAGTTGGTAAAAGTTTCTAAACAAGTTTTTTTTGCTATCTCTGCTAATAATACCAATAATAAAGTTTTTAATAAATCTACATTGTATCTATTTACAATACATTATTTAGTGATTAACAGAAAGATCCTATTTGAAAGCTTTTTACTTACTTGGGTATATGAATTTATAAGCAACTTTTTATATTAACAGAGGTAGCAAAAAAAGAACCTGTTTAAAGACTTTTAACCAACCTAGTATAATTAGTATTTAATATATAGTAAATAAATTAAAAAATAATTCATAATTAAAAAATAAAAAAAATAAGAAAAAATAATATTTATATTAGGAGTTATTGGTATTATTTTTCCATTTTATATTAATTTTTTTGCTAAAAAATAAGCTTCAAAGTTATACTATACATATGGGCTGATTTGAGTAATTTATAAGTAAAGCTTATTTTTTAAACAACTTTAAAGCTAAAAACACTGATTTGAATACTTATTATATTTTTAAAAATTTTTTATTATATTATGTTTTAATGATTTCTAAATTTCAATAGAAATAATAAAAAAGCCTTGAAGGCAAAAAAAAATTAAAATTTGTAAACTTTTTTATTGCAAAGGTCAAAAAAATACTAAAATATTAAAATATAAGACCTAATAAATGCACGAGTTAAAAAAAATTCCTAAAATCGCATATACATAAAAATGAGGAACAACTTTATATTAATCCAAAAAATGATAGCAGTTTGAACTAGATATTGAATTCAAATTAAATTTTATATTTAAAAAACTGAAATTGAATGTAAATACATCTTAAGTATTTGAATTTTAAGATAAATGCATTTATAATATTATTACAATTTAGATAAACTAAATATATTCTTTGAATAATTCGATTCGAATAAATAAAAAAAATTGTGATTTCATAAGTTTCATGTTAACCAAAACAACACTCTAGCTTAGATCAAATTTTAAGCAACGATTACGTACCCAATTTTATGAGTAGATTTACTCATATTACTTAAGATAAAAAATACTTGGTAATAATGTTTTTTATGCTTACACCGAATTAATGAAAGATAAATAAATAATATAAATCAAAAACTCACAATATAAGAAATATTTTTTAACCTTATTATTCATAAAATCAAGAAAAAATAAATTATAAATCAATATAGACCTCATTACTTAGTTTAAGACTAAGTTTAAGATTTTGACTACTTTTAAAACTTTCAAATTCTGAAACAATTTCTCTCATATCAATAAGTTTAGAAGTATACTTATTATTTTCGTGTTTTTGCGTAATAATTAGCAATTCTTTGATTAGTTTATCAGCTTCTAAAAATTGCTGTTTGATCTTATCGTAATCGCTGTCGTAATCACTATCTGCTTCTAAAAACAGCTATTTGATCTCATAATCGCTATCATTATCGTAATCACTGTCATTACTATTATCATAATCAATATCATTGGTGACTAGAATTTTTTGCCATTTTTCAAATTTATCGAGAATCTCAACAGCAGTAGGTCTCTTTTTCATATCTCCATCAATACATTGATTAACTAATTCAATATAATATCTTGGAGTATCTATAATAAAATCAGGTCACAAACCACAACAAATTATTAGAGCTAATTTAGCATCAAAATTGTAACCATCGAAAGGCCCTCAACCAGTTAATAATTCTATCATAATAATTCCAAAGCTATAAATATCGGCAGCTTGAGTGAAAGGTTTATCTTTCAAAACTTCAGAAGCTAAATAAGGTATAACACTATAAATATGTCTATTTTGTTTTTCATTAAATGATATTGATAAACCTAAATCTGTAATAAAGTTTTATATCCATCTTTTAGCAAAATATTACTAGAATGTAAATCTTGATGTATAAATTTTTTAGAATGAATATATTTTAGATTATAAATGATATCGCTTAATATTTTTAGTTTAATTTTTCACTCTATTTTAAATATATCTTTAAGATTTTCTCATAATAATCCAAATCTTGCGTAATTTATCACTAAAATAAAATCTTCGCTATTTTTATCCTTTGATATGCCATAGTATTCTCCAAATTCGTGATATGCCTTTAACTAAAATGTTGTCAATTTATATACAATCAATT